CTGTGCTACTAACCTGAGAAGCAATAAGCTAAAAAAGAAAGATACACAAAAATGTTTTTACTTTGCTATGCAGCATTATTTTTCTCAAGAGCACGAACAAACACACAATGGAACTGGATATAAATACCAATGATGTGGTACAGACTCATACACACCCTCTACTGCATTCATACTGTACATGTGCGTTTTTTGTATCACCAAGTCCCCCAACCAGACACACACACATTTCCATTAGTTGACCCAGGTTATGGTGGTGGTTGGGCAGACTGGTGCACTGGCCCTTCAGACCATTTAGCAGTCTTAATCAATATATAATTTAATCATGGAGGGAAAGGTTATAGAAAAGGAAGCTGAGGCGGAGGTTTCAAGCGACAGCAGCCTTCTTCTCCTTGTATGTGGCCATCATCTTCTTGATCTCAGCAATGGCTTTTCCTGGGTTCAACCCCTGTGAGGAAGAGGAGACGGGTGAAAAGAGACCGATCAGAATAATTGTGATATTTAATGAGTGGAGACGCTGTGGGATGTAGTCTGCATTTTAAGGTCACAAGATACAGGATGGAATCAGCCAGTGATCTAGCTGTGGTCTACCGTTTTCATTTTTTATCAGTCTAAGTTTCATATATGATTTAGAAAATCTTTGTGCATCAGGTAGAAAATATATTTTGACATGAGAAACATTAAAAGAACTTTGCCCTAAGACACTGAATACTCACATACTTAATTATCTAAAGAAAGTATGTGACATAATTATCAGCACCTGGTTTATTAAATACAGATTTTTGTAAACAGATATCAATAAATGCAGATGCAAATCAAAAAACTGAAAAAATGCCAGTTAACATACCAAAGCAATAAGATCCACAAACTGTGGCTAAACATATCTGTAAATAGAGAATTAAGTTTTTTACACATGTATGGATACTTGTCATAACATCTGAGAATAAAGGATGTGTCATTTTATTAAAATCCTGTCTTGTTGCTTTCTTTCTTGCTTACAGTTCCATCCTTTCACCAAGCTTGAGAGATGCAACTGATGGAAATGTGATGCAATTAGGGCAAACTGAAGTACTTGTGTAATGGCATGAACTGCAATGTGCATGTAGACATATATGAGTGTTGACAGGTTACCTTGGGGCAGGTCTTGGTGCAGTTCATGATAGTGTGGCAGCGGTAGAGAGAGAAAGGATCCTGCAGCTTGGACAGACGCTCCTCTGTGAACTCGTCTCGTGAATCAATCATCCATCGATACGCCTGAGAGATGGCAGGATATATAACTAGGAATTCTGATGCTATTTATTTAATTGACTCAGAATATATCCAGACTGAACTGTCCTTAATGTTGATGTGTTCAACATGCGCACACACACCTGCATCAGCACAGCAGGTCCAAGGTACTTGTCACCATTCCACCAGTAACTTGGGCAGCTCGTGCTGCAGCAGGCACACAGGATACATTCATACAGGCCGTCCTACACAGGAGAGACACAAGAAAGGACATTCATTCTCATTATCATGTGACTTTGAGCACTATCGGTCAATGTGTTACCAAATTATTAACCAGCAGTGTACCAGTTTCTGTCTGTCCTCCACAGTCTGCAGGTACTGCTCTTTCCCCTCCATTGACTCATCCTTCTTCTTCAGGTAGGGTTCAATAGACTTGTACTGGGCGTAGAAGTTACTCATGTCCTGCAAACACAAATAAATATGTCAGAATAAAAGTTTAAAAAAATCAAAAATTGGAAAAATACTTCTGATTGTGTTAATAAATTCATCCATGTTCCAAAAATCAGCAACACATCAACACAGAAAAGAGAAATAGTCAAAATTCAAAAAGAAAAGACATCTGGACAGTTGGTTTGTATATGACATTAACGAGGAGGCTATAAATCAAATTAGGCTGAAATTATTATTTTCAACAGCTGCAGTCACATAAACACATGCATTCAATGAATATACTTTAAGTCCTTAATGTAATGCCTTTGTTAAATCATGACTTCAGTTAATGGAGTAATATCTGCTCCCAGAGATTCGTAGTGGATTGTTTATTTAGGAGTTTTTACTCACAGGTACCAGGTCTTTGACCACATACATATGTGGCAGAGGGTAAATCTTGGTTGGCTTGCTAAGGTTGGTGTCAATCTTGTTAAGACAAGCGAGTGTATTTCCTCCATTTATGTTCATTGCACAGGACCCACAAATACCTGCAGAAAGTTGTATAAAACATTTTCATTATCATTTCTAGCACAGTACAAGACACGGTCTCTATCACTGAACTTTACTGAAGTATTTTAATACTGGAGTGTAGTACATGATATTTTCTGTTTGAAGAAATTCAGAAAAGTAGATTGTTACTTTCTGTGGGTGGTGGTAAGAGATTGTGCAGCATTATCCATCATGGTTGGTTGATTGATTTAAAAAAAGAATCTGAAGAGCAAACTAATCAATAACTTTGGTATATTCATTAACCACATTTAATGCTCATTCTATTTTCTTAAGGCAACTGTAACTAATGCTTTTGTAAATTTGAAAGCATAAGCATTTGTATCAAAATAATTTCTACTGGCACATATTAAAGTTAATAATTATTCTGTTGGCACACTCCAGCCTCTATGTGACTGACCTTCTCTGCAGGAGCGGCGGAAGGTCAGAGTGGAGTCCATCTCATTCTTGATCTTGATCAGTGCATCAAGAATCATTGGACCACAACTGTAGAGGAGAACAACCAGACAGTGAGTCAATGCTGCGAGTTACTTTGACACTAGAGAGTTGAGTCTTCTCAAGCTGATTAGAGCAACAGGTGAAGGAGGGGGGCAGGAAACATGGCAGGCTGCCAGATACATCTGAGATTAATCCATCTGAGTTTAATCCACCTGAGTTTAATCCACCTGAAGGCTGTTCTTGGTTTATAAAATATGCCCTCTGTTTACATGTACTTGGATTAAATGATCAATGCCCTGAGCACCAAGCCACCATTAGTGCAAGAAAACATGCCCAGAATCAGAAATTTGTCATAACCTCTTTCAAGGAGGTTATGTTTTCACCTCTGTGTGTGTATGATGGTAGGTTTGTTTGTTTTTAAGCAAGATTAGACAAAAACAAATGAACAGATTTTCATGAAACTTGGTGAAAGGATGTAGTATGAGTCAGAGAAGAACCCATCAAATCAATTAAGAGCCCACTGAATTTTGGTGCGGATCTGGATCAGAGAGCAGATCCCAGAATGTGTTTTCACTTTCTTTAACATTGTGACATTTTCACTGTTTTACCAAGGAAAATTTCCTGGATCTTCATGAAAATAATCAGTCACATTTAGGGAATCTGTCAGTGTGTAAAATTTGGTGCATTTATTTGGTGTATTTAGGGACATAATAAACTTCAACACAGTCTGAAAGTTGCACTGACACAATGCAACACAACTGGTCTTCCTCCTCCTCACTCAAGAGAGAAAAACTGTAACACCTACGTGTTGAGGTCTATCTCGTAGGTCTGCATGCGGGGTTTGTCTCCTGAAGTGTCTGGGTCCCATCTGTACACCTGGAACTTCTTTATTCTGGGCTGAGCGGCTGGAGCAGCTGCTGTTTGGGCGTACCGCACCGCCTAACAACAGAGACAAGAGGAGACAACATGTGATTAATATGCCACTCTATTTACATTACATACACATACATGCATCGGATCGTGACAGCACATAGAAAAGTTAGAAATTATTTTTGAGACTCCATCAGGGTTAAATTCTTGTTCACCTGCTGTTTCCATATACATTCTTCCAATTGGAGTAAATAAATACGATCGTGGTGTATATTCGAGATGTCACCCAATTATGTGTACAACATTAAAAAAATGATGAGCAGCAAGGATTTTATCCACAAGTATGAAAAGAGGATACATCACATCAGTAAACTTTAACTCATTTAGAAGCCAAATGGCCTGACACCTTCTAATCTTTCAGACTGCCAGTCAGTGTATGTTCCAAACTCTTCGCCTTAGTTACTTAATGAGAGTAGCAGATCTTTTTTCCAGTCGACTTGCAGAGACAATATCAGGGTTCAAAACCTATTTTCTTTTTCTATTATTTTAGGCAAACAAAATTTACAGATGAAAACAGCAGCTGTGAAGACTGATCCCATTTCTCTTTAATACCTTTTTTTTCTATTGTAATTACATTATTATCTTTCCTCTCTGATCTATTATCTTGAGTAAATTGTCATGGATCTATGCTGCAGTGTAAGACTATTTTACAATTTGAGCACTTTATGTTACGTGGCTTGTTTTGGTTTTGTACTCACAGAGCACCACTGTTGAGTTGAGCTCTGAAATGCTTTTCCCTTCATAAACATAGATCAGTTAAAACTCAGATATTTGAATTATTATGAAATACTGCTGAACTTGGTACTATTACTACACAGTGACGTATACAATCATCACTTCCATCAGGCTGATGTTTACAATTAGCTTCAACTGATTCAGCTCAACGATTTGAGCGAGATACTTTGAAGTTAAACACTTTGAAGTTCAAACAGTTGACATTTGGTGCTAAGCACGCTAACCGATAACCAACATTTTATATCACACATTTTATAAAGTTATAACGTTTCAGCAAAGTCAGTCTGACCGCAGCTGACAGGCAGGGCTAGCATTAGCACTACGTCACTTCAGCGCATAGACGGAGACCTCTGCGGCCAGAAGGTGAAGTGTTCCTCTGAGCGAAGCGACAGTATCAGAGTGTGACCGTGACACAACAATGGAACCCGGACACTTGTTCAAACATACCACCAGTCCTGCGGGGGAGCGAGACGCCACAACGCCACAGCGGCTCAAGGACGTGAAACAAACCGCCGCCATTTTGGAGCTTGTCTGACCTCTTCCTCCGCCGCCTGCTATCCCAGCATCCCCCGCGGCTGCGCCACCGCTCTCACCGCGGCGCTTGTTTTCTCTCACCACAGACCAGCCGGGCGGTGCAGGGGAGACACAATCCTCCACATACTGTCTGTGACACTCCTGCACCGACGTCCCGGGTTTGAAAACGAACTCACCCAGTGTATCTGCGTCAGTCGCGTGTGGAAGTGGATCCAGTTTGCTTCCAGGTGAAACTGGGTCGAGGTCACTGAGCCTCCTGTTTTCATTGTGTTGCATCGCCTCGGCTGGGAGCAGACATGGTGTTCCTCACGCTGTCTTGTTGGATCAGGAGCCGCGGGCCCGACAGATACTGGAAAGTTCAGGAGGTTCTCAAGCACGCGCGGGTAAGATCGCGATCTCCTGGAGCAGACGCAGCGAACCTGCTGCTGCACGCTCGTTGTGCCGGTGTCATGGCTGTAATGTGTAAGACGTGTTCTCGGTAGAGCCGGTGTAGTCACCCTGCTGTCGGTTCTTCCTCCAGCACTTCAGGGGCAGAAAGAACCGCTGCTACAGTCTGGCCGTGCGGGCCGTCAGGAGAGCTTTCGTCTACGCCACCAAAGCGAGGAGGCTGAAGAAACGCAACATGAGGACGGTAAGAGTTTGAACAGTTCGTCCTTTAAACACGTGTCTTCTAAACTCTTATTCTAACAGCTGGGGGGTCCAGACTCCTGCTGCAGGACCCAACATCTTATCTTCATGTTTAATGTGTAGTCATATTCCTACCTCTCCCTTTCTTTACGAGGATAGTTCACCCTAAAAATGAGAATTCCTTCATTATCTCCTCACCACTGTGTCGATGATGGAGGGGTGGGTGAAGAGTCTCAGGGGTAAAGAGCGTTGCAGCCAAATCCAGTGCAATATAAGTAAATGATGACTAATACTTCAAATGTGAAAAAACAACCAGAAAAAAGAATAATGTGTCCACATTGCTCTTGTGGTGTCACCCAAGTGTCCATAAGCCCCGACATTTGAATTCCACTCACCCCGAGGTCATTTACACCAAGTTTTTAGCCTAAAGGTCCTCTGTGATCTTCTTCTGTGAGCTGCGTTCTTACGAGGATCTCAGTTAAAAACAAGGAGTAGATGACCTGGTATCGAGCAGGTCGTCTACTAACCACCAGAAGGTCGGTGGTTGGATCCTCGGCTCAGTCTGTGTGTGTGCGCCCAAGTATCCTATGGCAAGAAATTGTTGCTGATGGCTGCTCACTCAGTGTCTATAATGTGTGACAGAAAAGCATAACATTTAGAACTAATGTGTGACTTTGACTTGTACAGTAGTTGACTAGAAAAGCTCTAAGCTAAGGTCAGTTTATTCATTTAACACAAGATGACAAAGAAAAACATATTTGAAGTGTTGTCACTTACTTAAGTCAGGTGTCCTTCCAATCCCAGTTTTGTTTGGTACTACTATTTCAAGTCCTCAGCTAGCAGAATGTGTATTAATTGTAAACAGTACAGGGACAAACTTGAAACACCATTGTGTATATTCAAATAATTTGTGATCTGTGCTTGAGCAAAGTAATCATTTTAATATGTGCTGTCATTTCTTCAGCTGTGGATTTCACGCATTGCAGCGGCATCACGAGAGCACGGCATGAAGTATCCTGCTCTCATGCACAACCTTACAAAGGTTGGTTGTGTCGCACATTACATAGTTTTAACATCATTCTGTAAGATCTTTGTAGTTTTGATGTTTCACTGTATTTGTTTTTAAGACATTTCCTCTCTTCCTCCACACAGACCAGCGTTCAGCTGAACCGACATGTTATCAGTGATCTGGCCATCACAGAACCTCGGTCTTTCCTCTCACTCGCTAAGCTGGCACAGGCTCGGCAACAGGAAGGCTTCTGTGCAGCGCTGGGTGACGGCAAAGAACCTCCTGGTGTCTTCTCCCGAATTGTTTTATTACAATAAAGAGCTTGCTACAGTTATGTATTGCCAGTTGCTGTGTTGTTTAAAGAGCAGCACCTTGGATTGTTGATGATCCTGAAACTGTTGACCAGACATACACTCACCTCTTAGGTTCTGTTCAGGTTCTGTTTCATCAGGTATTTTTCATATTATCTTGAATGTTTTTTTAGGCACTCTTCTTGATCAGTATACGAGGGTGGCCCGGTGTTTAACACCCCACAGAAATGATCCACATTGAGATCAGGGTCTGACCACCATATGGCTCATGGTTTGCCTGGTGCTTGTGGTGAGGAGTTCACTGGCTGACAGTTTAGTTATCCAGTGTCTCTTTCCTGCATGTCCCACATAAATCAGCCCCACACTGGTCCTCAGTTTAAAAGAGAGCAGATCCAAATCCCTCATGTAGAAGTATAGAAGTATATTGAAGGACATTTTGGCAGGGCGGATAATTACTGTTGAAGTGCCTTGGTCTTTGACCTTCAAGGACCGTCTCTTTACATGCTGTGGTCCCCTGCACGCATGCTGCGGAAAACTCATTCAAAAGGAGAGTTTTGTCAAATTCATATGAATTCTATTTAAGCCCCTGGTATTTATTATTCTGTGTGACAGTGCTGACAATGGTTTACCCTGTTAAGTCAATTCTGCACTGAAGGCATCGAGAGATCATCATCATAATCCAAGATCTGACATTAAACAGCAAAGCAACTGTTTGTCTGCACACACCTGCTCCTGCTACATTCACTGACTTCAGTCCAACACAATATAGCAATGTTCCTCAGCTGTTTCCCTCCAGTGTTGAGATAGAGGATGTGATTATCAATTTCCACAGCTTTTCTTGTATTCACCACATGCAACCATTGTTAAATTATGATTTGATACTGTTGGATTGTGAGTTTTTTGGAGGTTGGGAAGAAAAGAGTGACCTCAAGCGTTATCATGTGATGACTTTTGTCTGTGTGTAAATATATATTTTACCCTTTGTTGTGGTAAAGATTGTCCTCATAATGTTTAGTTCATTAAACATTTTGATATTTATTCTTGATTCTCTTCATTTAAAACCCCCCCAGCTACTTTAAGAATGGGAATTTAAAGGTCCAGTGTGTAAGATTTAGGTTAAAGGGAACTTTTGGCAGAAATTTAATGTAGAATAATCCTCATGATGTTTTCACTAGTTTCATCTAAATTGTATGAATTGTAATTTTCTTTATCCCAGAAAAGTCCCTTTATATTTAAATACTTTATATTTACATGGAGGGGACCCTCTCTACGGAGGCCGCCATGTTTTTTTACATTAGTCCAGACTGGACAAACGAAACACCTTTTGAGTTTTTGTGACAATTAAAGGCTACCACAGGTTCTTTCATGTTTGGAAGGAGAGGGTGAGGTGAGGGGTGCTCAGCTGCAACATGACATTTCAACACTAGATATCACAAAATTCTACACACTGCACTTTTAAGAATGGGAATTTAAGAGGTATTTTATTCGACATGTTATTTGTTGTTGATAGATCCCTACAAATCCCTTCTTTTATAGGCATGACAAAGTAAATTTGGCCACAAGGACAAAATTACTTAAATTTGATCATCCAGTGGCATTTGAGAAGCAAAAACACCCAAGTTTTAAGTCTAAACAATCTTCCAGTCCAATGCAGTCCCATTCAAACCAACCCTATTATTATTATTGTTTTTAATATGATTAATAATTAAATGTTCATATTAGCGCATAGCAATAGAGTCAGTCTCATGCGCCAGCAACATTTGGTAGGTGCTTATTAAACTTCTGTTGACACTGTCATTGTCTATAGTATAATTGTATTAATATAACATAGATTAGAGGCCTCTGTTGAAAATTAAGAAACATCAGTAAAATTTAGGTCATAAGGAAGAATGTAAACTTAAATAGAAAAATATGAATGATATAAACAAGGAAATATAAACATAAGAAGAATATAAACTTAAATTGATAAACATTAACAATATTAACAAGAACATATAGAAATAGGAAGAATACAGTAGTACAGTAGTAGAACTCTGCAGAACATATTGTTGAACTGAATCTAAATATTGTGCATTGAACAGATGCTGTTAATATGAATTAATATTAATGTGAATATTGTGCATTGAATAGACAAAGTTGCATACCTGCCTTTCTCTGTGTATATTTATGCTTGCACATTGAGCCTTTAACAGAAATTGCAAAAATAATAAATATATACTTCCTCAGTGTGTTTTTTTGGGGCGGGGGCTCGGGTGGTAGATCTCGGCTTATGCTTTGAATTAAAGTGACCTTGGGCTTGAGAAGTTGTGACCACTTCTTTAAATGAGATTACACCTGAGTGAATGAGGAGTGCACAGAGCCAGAGTTGGTGCATGTGGTTTTCTGGGAGCTGTGCAGGTTGCACATTTCTCTCTGGGGATCAAACCCACTGACTGCAGACAACACATTACTGTCGGTGACCTCTGATTTACAAAACCTCATCCAGCCTGATGCAACAGAAAGAACATCCTGTCCCACTCCATTTGCGGTGTCGGTGTTCTGACCCTCTCCGGCTGCCGTACCACCTGTGGGCGGGACTACATTTGACCTTTCCCGAATACAGTGACGAGTAATCTAACCAATGAGAGGAGGGAATACTCGTCGCCAGCCAATCACCGTTGCTGTTATTCAGAGAAACCCTGCGCCCCCTGGTGGACATGCGCAAATGAGCGCGGTGTGACACACGTGTGGAGGAAGTGCAGGGACATCAGAGAAACAGCTGCCTCCTCCTCTCTGTCCCTGTCTCTGTCTCTGTCCACAACCTAGGACCCTCGGACCTTTCTTCCTCCTCTGCGGACATGTCGTGGCTGTTCGGCCTGAACCGGGGGCAGCCCGAAGCTCCGGCTCAGCCTCCTCCTCCTCCGCCGCCGGCCGGAGGCTCCAGCGGCGGAGGAGACAAACCCAAGGACAAATGGAGCAACTTCGATCCCACCGGGCTGGAGCGAGCTGCACAAGCGGCCAAGGAGCTCGACAAGTCCCGTAAGTGTTCAGGAGGGAGAAACCCCATTTTAATAACATCACTGCACAGTGACAGCAGCCAGCTCCTCTCTGCTCCGCGGTGGAGGTCGCTCCAGTCGTGTAATAAGGCCCAGCATCATGATCTATAACAGCAGCTATACCAAGAGCTTCATTTCATCTTTCACAATCTGAATCTTATTTGTTCTGGTAGCTCGTGAGAACAGTCACGTGCTGCCCACAGCTTCATTCAAACAGACAGGCAGGGTTCAAAGGTCACACCTTGCAGTCTCAGCTTGTAACACCCACCTTCCACCTGCACACACACACACACACACACACACACACACACACACACACATGCATTAGCTTAAATTCTATCGTTAATAAAGTGCAATGTGTTTATTATTTCATTCGAAGCAGTTTACCAATCAGGTTCAAAGGGAATGTAAACTAGTCAGGTAAAAGATGAGAGGATTCCTGTCAGGACTCGCCTGGTTGGATCCTGCAGATCCAACTGAGACGGAGCCACAGCAGGACTCAAATTAAAACGTATTTCTACACTGAAACCTCATCATTCAGCTGTGTGTTGTCGGCTCTTCTCTCCTCTACCCAGGACACGCCAAAGAAGCTCTCGAGTTGGCTCGTATGCAGGAGCAGAGCACCCAGATGGAACACCAGAGCAAAATGAAGGTGCGGACACTTTGTACCTGCCTCACTCTTCATCTGCTGCAGGGCAGCGAGATTAGTAGAGTTCATTGAACTTGTCAATTTGCATCTTTGTTATTTCAAACCAGGCGAACATAGAGAGAAACACTGCGGGTTGATACCTCCCATATCTATATTTCAGTCTGTGCTGCAGAGTCACTGAAAGAAAATCATGTTTCAGTCATTTTCTTGTTTCGGTCTCCTGCTGCACTATTCAGACGTGAAAGGCATATTTTGGAGAATGTCAGGACCAAGTTTTCCAGAGTTCATGTCTGAAAATGACTCATGTCAGTACAACATGAAACACAAGTCAGATCCAGCCCCATGTGTGTATTGTTTTGAGGATTTCTATGATATGACCCAGATGACAATAGTCCTATAATGAACTCAAGTGTTGTGTGTTGTGATTTCTCATTGTTTTTGTGCCACTGTAACAGGAGTACGAAGCAGCGGTCGAGCAGCTCAAAGGCGAACAGATACGAGTCCAGGCTGAGGAGAGGAGGAAAACTCTGAATGAGGAGACCAAGCAGCATCAAGCGGTATGAACAGAAATGCTCTTTTCTTTGTTATTTTTGAGGTAAAGAAGAATTTGAAGTATCTTGCAGCAGTAAATTTGAACATTTGAAGTTTCATGGTTCAAGTTGATGGTTTTCTGTCCCTCCACAGAGAGCGCAGTACCAAGATAAACTGGCCAGACAGAGATATGAGGAACAACTCAGGCAACAGGTGACGCCGTTGTCTTCATATTTATTGTGAAATACTTTAAAATGAGCTGTAGTTACTGATGATTACTTGTTTTTATTTTTAACAGCAAATTCTGAATGAGGAGAACCTCCGCAAGCAGGAGGAGTCTGTACATAAACAGGAGGCCATGAGGAAAGGTATGGACCTTACCACTGTTACACTGACGTCAGGGTCTCCTGGAAGCTGCTGAGGTTTATGTGTTTGTGGTATCACGTTTTTTTTTTTTTACAGCGACGATCGAGCACGAGATGGAGCTGAGGCACAAGAACGAGCTCCTGCGTATAGAGGCCGAGTCCAAAGCTCGAGCCCGCGTGGAGAGAGAGAACGCTGATATAATTCGCGAGCAGATCCGTCTGAAGGCTGCAGAACACAGACAGACTGTGCTGGAGTCCATCAAGTAAGACGCACTCTACACTGTTCATCAGAGCCTGATCCATTTATCTGATGGTTGATCATTTTGGCCAAGACGAGCCGACACATTATATCAGCGTTTATATTCGCAGATATTAAAACTAACCCCTAAATGATTTCATTCCTTTGAAATCACTGTCAATTAACACAAATCTGAATATATAGAAATCAGAAATGTTGTACTCCCTAATATTGGTACCCCCCCTCAAAAAAACATTGTTAGGGCTGTATCTAGTAAATTGAAGATGTGTTTAAAACAGTTGCAGTCACCATCACACTAGTACACACAAGTCAGTTTTATATGTAAAGTGACTATTCTGACAGAACCCTGAAGGCAAACTGGCAGTTAATAAGAGTATTTGCTTTTTAGAACCGCTGGTGCTGTGTTTGGAGAAGGATTCAGAGCCTTTATTTCAGACGGGGACAAAGTCATAGCCACGGTGAGAGGTCTGGTTCCATCTACACCTGATGATAGGGTTTGAATTTGCCATGAGTTCTCTTACTCTGTTTCTTCCTCAAAATAAGGGTTGGTTAGGTGTTTAAAGTGGCTCAATATAAAGACACTACTATTCATAAAGTTTGTTCTTTATATGACTCGTACATTCTGTTTCTACTGCTTGGACAAACACTTCACACATAACTACTCTCATATTCAGCCCTTTAGAAGAAGAAAAGTTGATGGCAGAAATGATGAAAACAAGTAGTTTCCTTCATATCACCATAGCAATCTTTAAATGGTGTATTTGTATTATCAATGAGTACACACACTGATGCAGTTTTCTTGATCTTTGCATTGACCAATGTTTGAAAATGGTATTAACTGTTCTGTCACATAACCAGGTGGCAGGATTGACCCTTTTAGCTGTTGGCGTGTATTCAGCCCGAAACGCGACAGGGGTGGCAGGACGTTACATCGAGGCGAGGCTTGGGAAGCCTTCGCTGGTGCGAGAGACGTCCCGATTAACTGTGGGAGAAGCAATCAAGCATCCAGTCAAGGTACCTGATTATTAACTGGACCTCTTTACATTTTGTGGCTGCAGATTATAATATGTTAATAATAATTTTCCTGTCCCTTCTTCACTTCTTAGACGACTAAACGACTGAGGAGCAAACCTCAGGATGCACTTGAAGGAGTCGTGCTCAGTGTAAGTGGATATCGAGGCCTTTAAAAAAGATTTAACCCAATTTTAAATTGTAATAACTTGAGACAAATGCATTTCCTTCTTTTCTTAGCCTTCCCTTGAAGAGCGCGTGCGTGACATCGCCATAGCAACAAGAAACACAAGACAGAATAACGGCCTTTACAGGAACATCCTCATGTACGGCCCGCCAGGCACTGGCAAAACACTGTTTGCTAAGGTACGCCTGGTGTCCCCTGATGTAAACTACATGTACAGTGAAGCTGTATCTGACTGTGAGGTTTTTCTCTTTGTGTTGAGTAGAAGCTGGCAATGCATTCTGGGATGGACTATGCAATTATGACTGGTGGCGATGTTGCACCCATGGGTCGTGATGGTGTGACCGCCATGCATAAAGTCTTTGACTGGGCAAACACAAGTCGACGAGGGTATATTTCTTCTATATTACAATAATCTGACGATATGAACAAAGTATCACCAGTGACAGTGAAGTGATTTTATTGATATTCCGTCACAGGCTGCTGCTGTTTGTTGATGAAGCTGATGCCTTCCTACGCAAGAGATCCACAGTAAGTGTGCATCTTTTTTATTTATCAGAAACCTTGGTAGTTTCTTTACAAAGTATGTAATTTAAAATATATAACTGCCTAATTTATCGTCAACTACATCACTTCATTCTTACATTTTGTAGGAGAAGATCAGTGAGGACCTCAGAGCCACTTTGAATGCGTTCTTGTATCGCACTGGAGAACAGAGCAACAAGTAAATGTTTATTTTCACTCTGTGTCAGTCTGGTGCTTGGAACTAAACCAGAACAGTTTCATATTCTTTGCAGCACGTTTCTAATCTGCTTCATGTCTGTGTGTTTCCTGAAGGTTCATGCTGGTGTTGGCCAGTAACCAGCCAGAGCAGTTTGACTGGGCCATTAACGACCGTATCGATGAAATAGTGAATTTTGCTCTGCCGGGCCCTGAGGAGAGGGAGAGGCTGGTGCGGTTGTACTTTGACAGATATGTGCTGGAGCCGGCCACTGTAGGAAGACAGTGAGTACAATCCCAACACTACAGCATAATTATCTACCCACACCAGAAATCTCAGACTGTCTGTAGGTTGAACACGTATCTTGAGAACCGTTCATCTTATCGGCTTCATTCTTGGCATGTGTATCGTTAAGGGCCCCAGTAACCGCTGTTTTTAATCAGTAAAAATTGAATAAACAGGCAAACAGCGCTGTGTAGCAGAGGTGGCTTTGACTCAATGTAAGTGACTGTGTTGATCACAACAACAGTGCATTCAAGACAACAAGCTTCCCTGAACAGATGAACAGCAGCCGTGGCCCAGTTTCACGGTTCTGTGGAACCTGCAATTACTGCAGGTTACTTTTATAATTTCAGTAAGAAAGCTGCAACCAGCATCACAACAGGCCAAGGAAACAGCCCACAAGCAGGTTTAGAACCGGCACTGAACTAGTTTGGTAAAGTAAAGTACTGAACTAAGCCACACACCGGGGTTGCATACTGAAACAAGTGATTAGGTTCAGTCCACAACTCACCTAAAGCGATAAACAGTGATTTTGATGAGTTAGATAATAATCTTTCAATCGAAAGTTGTGACAGAATGAGGGCTTGATCAGTGTCAGGGCCTTTTTGAGATGAAAGCCAAAAATAGCCTGCCGTGCATGTGGAGGATGGGCCGCCATGCTGAGGCATTAATTAGAAAAAGCTCAGATGAATGATCTGGTGGGTGGAGTGACACACGGGCCAGGAAGCAATGAAATAAGTTGCGAAAAGTTGGAATGAAACTGCATCCAGGCCAATTAAACAGTGGGAAACATCACACTGGTTTCTTCATCTTTCTGTTGTGCTTGTGTTTGTGCAGGAGGATGAAGTTGGCACAGTTTGACTATGGTGAAAAATGCTCTGAGATTGCGAAGAGGACAGGTGGCATGTCAGGAAGAGAGATCTCCAAGCTGGGTGTGGCCTGGCAGGTATGTTCCCTTAAGTCATTGCTGTGATCTTCAATTAAAACTGCAGTGTAAACATGACCACCCAGCTGCTCTTCAAATTGCCCTAAGATCTACATTTCATTTAGTAGATGGATGTTTAAAACATGTGTTGTGCTTCATGATCTTGTAGGCGGCAGCATATTCTTCTGAAGATGGGATCCTGACAGAGGCTATGATTGACGCTCGTGTTGATGACGCTGTCAAGCAGCACGTTCAGAAGATGGACTGGCTGCTTGGAGAGGAGGATGCCAAAACCCTTACGCCTCCCTCAGCTGGGGCGGCAACCACTGCAAGCAAAATGGGCTTCAATCTGCCCCGCACTGAGGCACCTGAAGCTCAGCAGGTGATCGCTCCAATCCTGGAGATGAGCGCAAAGCCAGAGGTTGACACTTTACCACCTCTTTCAGACATCAACCAGGTGATTGCTCCAGCCTTAGCAATGAGCGCAAAGCCAGAGGTTGACACTATACCTCCTCCTTCAGAAATCGAACAGGTGATCGCTCCAATCCTGGAGACGAGCACAAAGCCAGAGGTTGACACT